AACTTGATTGTCTCTTTCATAAGTTCAATTAATTCCTTAACATCTTGGTCCTTCCATGCAATCCAATCATGGCCATGAGATTTCCTTGGCGGCTTTGTCAGCGTCTTCCCCTCTTGTGCCATGTTGAGTGAATCATGGGCTAATTTATGCATGCTCTCCCAAATTGGTGCTGACCAAACGCACGAAAGCTCATCAGAGAAAAGTTAGTTTGACAAGGCTAATCGTTTACACCGCACACCTTATCTGATCTGGGCTAGATTTTCAGGATCACATACCAATTTTATCTGTGCTCAGACTACCTCTCAACAATTTTGGTCCGGCATGGATGGGGCAAAGTCGTTTACATGACTAAATCTATCAGTGTGGTACGCATACTTTTTTACATCCGAGCCATGCCAAAAGTTTCCTGCCGTGTAAATGGGGCTTAAAGCTGATGGACTTTCAACCTTATATTGAGTGAAGGCACTCAATTGCACCTCAAAAGTTTTAACCTTTTTAATGTGTTCCTTGAAACCAACAACAGTCCCAGCCAATTCCATCATCGTTGGAGGGGAAGACCTAGAATGCTTAATTAAGTATACACAGTATTAATTAATTGTCATTAAGTATTCAATTCTGTCTTACAATTTTTCTCCGTTTTTCTCAATTAACGTGGACCATTTTGGTTTACCAACTCTCTTAACGACTTGGAATCATGCCGTTATTTACACGTCTGGATCAGTAAGTTTGAAATAAGATGGTAAACCTAGGTTAAAGATTACTTCCACTGTCCCAGTGCACGTTCCAATAATCATGAAAAGCAACTATTTTTAATTTTGAACAAAAGGTTTTAAATTTCACAGTGGATGACAGTAGATTTGGAAGTCTATAAGGACATGTAAGATTGCTGAATTGATACGTAGACTACATTTCTACTTTATAAAGGTGAAGACATATTTTATTAACGAAAGGAAAATGAAACATCTTGAGTAAGGTATAAAGTGCATTCGGATGCTTGCAAAATTTAGAGGCCTGTGGTTGTAGTAATATGAAGGAAAATACTCGAACATACCAAGTGTAATAATATTGATAACACCAGACATCTTTGGGCAACTTGAAAAATAACTTGACTTGAGGACTGACACTCAAAGGGAAACCAACTGAACTTCAAAGGTGGTCAATTTATAGTAGATTTGGAAGAAATTCAAATAAGGCTAGAGATTGAATTTCAAACCAGAAATACAGGAGTTACACAAGGGAACTAGGTCTTTACTCCTTCACAATGGGAACCAAAAATTGTGTGGGAATAATACAACCATGGTGGAACCTCGCCTTATGGCCACCTTGATAATACGGCCACCTTGTTATTATGGCCAGTTTTTTTTTGGCCTGGCAAAACAGCCATGCATTTCTGTAGTAAAAAAAATTTGTTAATGCGCTCATCCGCTAATATGGCCAACAGCCACATTTTAAATCCCAAACAGTAGAATCTCTCATAATTTCATCCCATTAATATAGCTACTTGTTCGAAACTTAGATATGTAAAAGGCTTTTGTCATTACAGCCCACAAGTCATGAAATTCGAGCCAGCCCCTGTAATATGGCCATCCCGTTAATATGGCCAAATTTTTTTGTCCAGTTAGTGACCATATTAATGGGCTTCTACTTTACTGATAGTAAAAAATTTGTCATCCTCGGAGACCCATTGGCAGATAGTGGGGGCGAGGGAAAGTCTAAACAGGCGGAAAAATATGGCACAAAAGAAAAGTAAAGAACGGACAGAAGAGCCCCTGGGGACAATGTCTTACCAGACCAGTTCCAAACAGTCACTGCTGTTTTGGCTTCTGATTGGTGCCAGAAAAACGAGGCATTCAGACCAAGAACCTGCAAACCAGTCACCCGAGCATACGGCACTGAAAGTGGGAAAGGACGCTTCGGTTTGGACATAAACTGGCTGGCGAAAGTCTAGCATCATGCTTCGGCTATTAAATGTGACAGGGAATTTTTTCCACCAAAGGATATCTGCCTGGAATTGTGAGGAAAAGCGCATGCAATGATGGGATGGCTGCTTGAGTTTATACAGTGAATAACCCAATGCGACGAAGAAAGGTGCCACTGCCATACATGGCATGACAAGCAAAGTTTAATGATCTTGCAAGGGATTGCGGTTGATGCTTGGATGTGGAGCTTTTAGCAGAAAAAGATGCGATAAGAGAATTTAGGTGCTCTAACTTGTCGGATGGAAGGCAAGGAGACATTTGTGGAGTCAAGTTCGATCCCTATGAAAGTAACACATTGACATGGAGAGACAACTTTTTTCCGATGGACATTAAATCCAAGTGAATGAAGCAGTCTAATAAGAGCCAGGAGACCTTGTTGACATTCATCTTTTGTTTTGCCAACGATAAGGAATCATCTAAGTAATAAACAATAGAATGTAAACCGCGTTGCACCATCATGCAGACAACAGCATTAGATAAACGATTAAAAATAGCAGGGGCACAGGAAACAGAGTCGATTATCAGCAAAGTACTGGTAGCGAGAAGGGTCATGCGGACCAAACATCCAGTGGAAGCCTTGGAGTTCACGATGAGGTGGAAGGACGGGCACCCATCGCCAGGCAGACTCAATATCCACAATAGCATAAAAACAGTTGTCAGTCGACACTGACACAGTGGTGTCAATTGAGTTCATTCGAAACGACTCAAGGTCTCGCTTTATGTCATCCTTTACAGACCTTCCAGGGGGTCCGCTACAATCCATGATTGGGCCGGATTTACCTGAGTCTTTCTTAGGAATGCTGCCGATGGGATGAGTGCACTTCGGCTTAGAAGTAGCACGAGAAATGCGGCCAAGAGCGAGCTTATTGAGGAAAAGCTGGTCCATTTGAGGTTTAAATTCATCGCACGTGGCACTAGAATAGTTGTCATTAGCATGGCTGTCAATACACAAGGTGTCAGATTCCAAAAGAAGCTTAAAACTATTTTGCAAACCATTGAGAAAGGAGGAACAGTCAGGGTTGTTTAAGAGTTCATTTTCCCAAGTGTGGAAATTCAAGGGACAATCCTCAAGCGGAGGGAAGTCAACAAGAGCAGTGCCAGGGCATGACAGGACTGAGGATTTGGACAACCATTAGGGCTAAAATTCGTCATAGGCTGACTGAGAGGCAGCTGATTTCCGACCATCCGTAAACGTAGCGCCTGAACTTTGAGACCATGTTGGTCGAAAGGCAATGGCAGCATCAAAATACTGAGCACTTAAATCATCCACATTACTTCCCCGACTGAAGTTTTGGCACATTTTGGTTGCTCGGTAGTCTTGATGAAAAGCAGAGCTTCTTTTCTTCACTTGGAGGTGAGCAACAATTTCAGTGATGATGTTTGAGATGTGTTCTTTTACATCATGGAGTGGCTCAGTGGATGATAGAATAAATCACAACATATATACAGGAAATTCTGGAAATGGAGATGCATTGATTCAATATAATTAGTTTTTCTTTGCTCTCAATAATCATGTTTATTGTACAATGTGTACACACATTACTATAAACAAAAACGAAGATTTAACCAAGGATAAAATATAAAATTGAACTACAGCGCACATTTGTGCACATGCATTAATACTAGGCATGTATTATTTCATGTATCTGCAAATACAATAATATTGCTCAATAATTTACTGCCAAGAAGTAATATAATTTTGATCTTCTATTATTACTTAATTATTATTTAAAAATGCTATGCAAATTACTTATAGTATTACTAAAATACATGTCCAGAAACTAAAACTTATAAAATGTATTTTAATTTATTACTGTTAACAGCATGTACATATCCTGTGAATTTATCTAAGTGAAGATTCTCTATGCTTCTTCCCTGGTTGTTCAGGAGCATTGCTGGTGCCCTCTGCACTCCACCAGGGTGTTTCTTTAATATAGACTGCAGCTGTTTCTTAAATCCTTCATCAGATAATCCTCAGCTCTGCACTCTCTCTGTAATTCCGGGGTTTGTACAGGTCATGGAAAACCTGGAAAGTCATGGAGTTTAATTGTTGGTCCTGGAAAGTCATGGAAAATTAAAGTTTTGTTTGATAGATAAGTTACTGCAGATGAAAAGGCAAGGACAATGTAAGATAAAGAGGAGTAATCACCAGCGCAAACGGCACTTATTTTGGTGGACTCCAGAGGTTGTGTCTGTTGATCTGTGCAACGTCCAAAAATACCATAAGACAATGTTTGAAAGTGACAGCTGAACCTAAGGTCTTGAAAAACCTCAAAAGGTCATGGAAAGTCATGCAAAGTCATGGAGTTTGAAGAGCTCAAAAGAGTACGAACCCTGAATACTCAAACTGTCAGATTTTTAATGGCTTAATTCTCCCATTTCTTTTTTATCTTCCTGCAGGACCTGCCAGTACCATGTGTTCACGATCAGCTAGTGACAGTAATGGACGATGAAAGCTGTATGTCAGACCACGATACCTTCATGCATCTCCACTACAAGCATGACAAGGAGCATTTCCTCCCCTTTGGTCTCTACTTTCAAACTGTTGTTCAGGCCTATCTCTATCGAAAAATCACCCAACATCTTGTACTTTTACCCCTTTGCTTGTTTCTGCATGGTGGGGAAGGCGATCAAGGCATTCTTGTCTTGTGTCCACATATGCTAGCTGCTCAATTTATCTCATCAGAATATAGAGATGTGGTCTCAATGATGGATGGCACATTTTCATGCCCTCTGGCCTTCATTTCCTCGGGTGTGAAGAAGAAGGCTGGATCATACAGGCACTGGACAAGGTACATAATGTGTCCATGGTTCATTATTGCAGAATTGTCTGCCCAGATCATGCGGTGTCTCAGTCTCATATTTCATGAGAAGTTCTTTCATTTGCCTAGGTGTGCACTTCTCTTCAACTTCCCTCGTACATTCACCAATCTTACTTAATCGTTCCTTTACTTCACTGCTGTTCATTTTTTCATACTCTGTGTCCAAATAGCCATGCACAAGTCCAAGGTTTTCACATCTCTACAGTTCTCTTTCCCTGATTTCAGAGAGTGGAATTTTTCTTGCAGAGACAGCAAATTCCATCTCTTGAAGGGTGCCCTTACTCTTTGAAACGTAGTTGCGGCATCTCTTTGGAACCACAAATTCACCGATAACATATTCACCAGCATCAAGTTTATCCTACAGTAATAACAGAAATAACAGTTTTATTTTTTCCTTTTTGTAGATAAATAATAGTGGTGAAAGGCATAATTAGTTTTTATACTTTGGCTGGATTTATATTAGTGCCAAAATTAGAGTATTTACAGTCAACTCTCGCCTTGCGGACACCCCGCTATAACGGACACCCCCATATTACGGACAGCAGCTAAATCCCCGGCAAAAACATGTTACAGACGCTTGACTGAAATAAACTCCCGCTATTACGGACTCTCGCTAATGAGGACACCGCCTCGAGGTCCCTACAGTGTCCGCTATAAAGGGAGTTGACTGTACTTTAAAATCATTATTAGGCTTCATCATAGAAACATTGCACAATCACAGTAATGTTGAAAGATCTTTCAAAATGGTGGAAGGGGGGAGACGAACTTACTTAAATTGGGGAGGCTAACTACAGACTCTACTCAGTAAGTGAGTCCTTGCCTTTAAGGATTTTTTTAAAGGATTTTTTGGGGGTCAGTAACAGATATGAACCCTCCAAGCATTTTGTTGAACCCACGCCTTGCTTTTGGTGCACTTCTGTGATGCTGTTGGAACTGCTCCACATTCTTACCACCATGTTACCTAATTTTACGTCGTTAAGACCATACCTTCTCCCAGGGTCGGAATTATTGATCTAAGAATAGTACATATCTGTATCAGTTATTGGAAGAAGTAATGCTGCTCCTATTTTTCTGAGATTGACTTTCCATTCATTATCTAGGATCTCCTTTGTTGAAAGTTAATTCATATTACAGAGCTTAGTCAGGCCTCGTCATGACGGATGAATTTTTCGTTTAGCCAGGGTGAATAGAGTATCCCCAAGCATAGTAAAATGGGTGAAGTTGGAAGCAAGTCAATCCCCTGAGCCTGTCCCATGCTGCACTTTATAGACAGCCTCAGTTATGATAATCTTTTCCTCCATTCCTCAATATGGAGCTGGTTCCCACACATGCTGCCTCACAGTACCTAGGGGCATCTTAAACGTGAATAATTTGATATTTCTGGGAATAACCCTCCTATACACCAAACAGAAAATCAACGTACCTTCCCACCATCTTTCATGTTTTTTACTTCCTGCACAAGGTTTTCCTTGTCAAAGTTTACCTGGTTTTGGCCAGCTCTTGCTGCCGGATTTTTCTTTCCTTTGCGCATTCCCCCTTGGCAAAGCGGACATAATCCTTTTTTTTTTTGAGGCATCAGTGATGTTGAAGATTCAGAAGATAAATCTTAGTTATTTGAGTACCAGCGGATTTCTATGAGCGTCTGATACAAAACACCCATTAATGAAAGCATTATTTCTGTAAAACTAAAGTGAAATCACCAAAACAAAATCATAGGATTCTTACGAAAGGTTTGAGGTTTTCAAGATTGCAGTTTTTAACTCTGGGTGCAGAGGAACAAAAAAGCCTTTTGAAACCAAAGTTTGCCATTTTCAGGCCGATTACCTTTTGCGTCATTATGGGGCAAAAGTGAGGACGAAGGAGAAATCACATATCCATCGATTTTGGTATCAAAATAAACTTTGTTTTTCCCACTTTCATGGTAGTTTGGTTTTGATTCAGCCCGCACTTTCCTGGGTTGCAAATGGAGCACCATTGTAGTTCCCAGGATCACTAGAATAACAAATGCCAGGCCACCATTTTTAGTGACATTGACAAAACAATGCCGACCGCTGACCTGGCGTGTAACTCAACTAAAATTTTAAATCAATGTGATGAAAGGTACACAAAAAAGCTGTCTTGAATCTGAGGGCGGGTCAAAAAAAATGCATCAATTTAACATTGACTTGCCTTAATTGTAAAAGTCAATAACACCATGCTGATTGATAAGATTTCCATTGCAAAACAGGCTTTCTTTTCTGTAAAAACACACATAATATACCTTAAATCTTGGGCTTAAATCCTCAAAAACGTCACTCACTCGGTTTTTGTTCTGAGCTCCTAGCCGCAAAGAAAACAGTGATAAATTTGTCCAGGGCAAAGTTGTCGCTTGATCTTTTGACTTTTCTTCAAAATGACAACTGAGTATTTTCTTCAACTTCCACTTTTTACTTGTATATTTCATTGGTGCATTTTATACTGACGGGACATGTTACGCCGCAAAATGTAACAATTGACGCGAAATGTAACATTAACCCTAAATGTAACAACTTTTGACGCAAAATGTAACAACTTTTTAACGCGAAATGAAACTATTTTTAACGCGAAATGTAACAAACAAATGTTACAGCCTTGAAATAACTGAGACACTTGGACATGAACCTTGTAGATAAAGTGTAAATTGTCTGGTGGTTACAAAAATAGTTTATTCATAAAGTTTTCTTATGTCAATTAAACTAACAAAAGGTCGTAAAACAGGTGATAAAGTTACAAGTCATGTATAACCTTGGAATAGCAGTATGGACAATAACAACAACGCTAACTTATTAAACATAAGGTATGGAAAATATCCCAAGCTATGCGAAAAGAATATGACTAGAAATGTGAACAATAACACCGTAGGAAACACGCACCAATCAGCAATTGAAATGCAAGTTAAAAGTAAAAGTTAAGAAAGGTAATCTTTCAAAAGAAAATTTTGAACGTAGTCAATAACATAGATATGAAATTTCTCATTTCTTACCGGACTTCCAGTAAATGTGAGAAATTTCATACCAACCCAGTCTTGCTGCCTCAAAACTTAACCAGCCAACGCCCATTTAACATTGTTGATTATCTCACGCAGTCGGATGACTGCTCCGCTACACTTTCCTTTAAAGGGAAAAGGGGAGGAGGTGGGTAAAAACAGACAGCGTCGGATAAAAACAGAAAGCGTCTTCACTCGATGAAACTGTGAAAAGAATGATCAGTTATCGACACTCGCCTCGATTTCATACGGGCTCAACTCCCTAGAGGGAGCGTGCTAAAAATGTACCATCCTAACCCATCTAATACGTCCTGGATTATGTAATGCCAACTTTCTTTTAAGCATCACCCATAAGTACAGAAAGATATAATAAACAACAATTCGTTGAACTGTTTCAGGATTTAGTTACTATTATCGAAAAACGTTTTGTAAGTTTATTTGTCATTATAAGAAAACTTCATAAAAAAACTGTCTTTGTAACTACCAGCAATTTACACTTTATCTACAAGGCTCATGTCCAAGCTTCTCAGTCATTTCAAGGCTGTAACATTTTGCTTGTTACATTTCGCGTTAAAAATATTGTTTCATTTTGCGTCAAAAATTTGTTACATTTCGTGTTAAAAAGTTGTTACATTTTGCGCCAAAAGTTGTTACATTTCGGGTTAATGTTACATTTTGCGTCAAAAGTTGTTACATTTCACGTTAATGTTACATTTTGCGTCAATTGCTACATTTTGCGACATAACAGGACAGGAGATTTGCCGAATTTGCCTTAATTTTACTGTGCTAGCTCAGTTGGCGTGCAGCAATGAGCAAATGGTAGGTGGCTTATTGACGAATAATAAAAAATAAAAGAAGTAAATATTAAGAATGGTTATTAGAATTCAATATCGTTACCTTGTGGTGGTGGGCCCAATTTCTTGTTCCCTACATAGCTTGGTATAGAAAAACAATAGGATATATCTGAGGTTATTGCCTGAAATCACAATACAAACTGAAATTAGCTTATTAGGTATTCATATTAATTACGTGGTCCAAAGATTCCTTATTTAAGTAAACAACAAATTTAATAGTTTTACAGAATGATGCTCCATCAGGGGAAGCCATCTGAGAGATGTGTTACATTTATACCCTATAGTTATTATATTATAGCCTGTAAATCTTTTTCTTTCTAAAGCTTTTTAACTGCTGCCTTCTGTTCTTCTTTGAAGGTTTACTTTAGATCTTTTGTTTCCAATTGTAACATTAAACAACCCTCAGCTCACACATCCTCTTTGTGCCTCGTGGCACATAAGACCTTCTCAGAGTCTTTCCACTCTTGTTGGTCAGCTATGGTTCTCCTGATAACAACAATAACAGCATTCTGACCTTGTAGGTCAAGGTCAAGGGACAGTTTTGCAATGGGGCTGAGAGTTTTCAAGTAAGATAACACAATCGTAATCTCCGTGTACTTTTTTCAGAGCATTTATCTTGTCACTTCCTAGTTGATGATAATGTGAAGGTCCATAAACACACCTCTGAAAGGCAACCACAAATTTGCTGATAACTTCAGCAAGTTCTTATATGGTGGGTGTTGGGTTTGCTACCAGTCGCTTTACTGCCTGTTTGATAACCTCTGCTCTCTCAGGGGTTAGTATTACTACCATAGGCTGAGAATCGCGGATGAAACCCAAGAACTTAAGTTTTTGGGTGGGAAATGACACTGATTTTCAGGGTGCAATACAAACCCCAGATAAGAAAACAATTGAACCGTTGCCTGAAGTTATATTGCAATTTTTTATGGTGTTACCTTGCACAGAAGAGTCATCTATATATCCAACAGATGAGTGCCCCTGTGAGCGGAGAGTGGAATAAACTGGTTTTAACAATTTTGTGAGTAATGGGAGTGCACAAGCAAGGCGATTCATAGGCATGTGTACTGATAGAGTTTACCTTTCCTATAAAGTTTCAGATATTTTTGGTATTCTTGTTCAACATGAACTGAGTAGTATGTATCTTTAAGATGCACTAAAGGCATATAACAACCTGGCTTCATCATTTGCTTAGCTGATTTGACTGATTCCATTCTAAACTGATGATAGGCTACATGTTCATTAAACCTCAAATTTAGTAGCAATCGTTGAGACCCATCTGGTGTTGGTCTCAAAAAGATTGTCGATGTATACTCACCAGGCTCATGGCAACTTGGGACTATTACACCCCTTTCCAGCAGTCTGTTAATCTCAGGGTCAATAAACTGTTCTTCAACATTTGAGAATTTTGTCTCTTTTGGATGCCTTATTTGAAGTGGGGTATTATTTTTTTCTACAATTTGACATCCTTGGATGATATCAAGTATATTGTGGTCAGAAGAAATAGTTTTCCATTTTTCTAAGAATTCTACCAGTCTTAAATGGCATTGCTTGTGCTACACTGAAACCACAAGCTGAACCCACCTAAGGCGCTTCACGTCTACCTTTGGGCTCTCACCTCCTCCATTTTCTTCTGATAGTATGGACCGTTCGTGTGGCTGCTTTGCCATTTCTGGTGATGGGTCTGGTATCTCCACCTAGACCTCTAGCAGTTTTTTGAATTCAAAGGTCTACGAAAATCGTTGCCTCTTGAATGATTTAGCTGCAATTGTTTACCATTTAGGTCTGTCAAATTGCTGTTCACAATGCCTTCTCTTTTGCTTTCTCTCAAGGTGTTTCAGTCACTTTGCTGCTCTTGGGCTTTGTGACATATTTTCCCTTTTTTGGTGCCAATTTCTGGGTCTAGAGACAAGACTTCAGGATTTCGCTATGTCTGCTAAATCTACATATACTATACTGTCACATGTGGTTCTGGTGATTTCACCAATGTACACCACGTGTGACTTAAAACCTTTTCTAGTACAGCATCCATTGGCGTGGTACTCTTCCAAATTTCTAACCCAGACAGAGAGAATCAAATAAAACCTCTGATTGCTTCGCTGAGCAAGCACACGTTGAGCTGAGCTGGCAGGTCACGCAATCTCAGGTGATCCCAGAATGACGTAATGGTGACGTAGATTGAAGTATACTGGTAACCAGTTTCTTGTCTCAAATTTCTCAGATCAAGCTTCATGGAGCTTTACAAAAAAATTTATCTGGCCTTTACTGAGGACTCTGCTGTCAAGGTATGAGTTTTTGGACTCCATGAGAGGAATATTTTGATGTTGACAGGAATGCAATTTTTTGTTTTTTTCAAGGTAATCGGTCAATTAATTATCCCATTTATGGACTCCTCCTGGTATCTTACTTGCCTTTTGGTTAATTTACTTTGAAAGCCAGTCAGTGATGCTATTGCCACCACTACCATCGGTAACTCAAGGCATTTTTAGTAAACAAGGCAAGGTGAAGTTTTGGCCTATTAATCAAGGACACAAGACCCAGCATCATGGCTTCAAATCTGATTTATGAAGATAAGTTTTGGAAAGCATCTTTAATGCTTCTCCACCCCTCGACACTTCTTTGTAGCTTCTCAAGATCCTCGGCAACAGACAATACATCAACTTTGTTTAAGTTACT